TGTAAGGTGTGAACTCCACGATGGTCCGTGCCTGTTGGTTAGATGCCAGTGTTCCCAAACTGGAATGAGAGAAGGAAAAGAATTAGAACTCTGCGTAGCTCAGAGACCTGAAGTGCTACAAGATGAGGACACACAATTAGGTTTGATTTGCTATGCCATGTTTTTCAGAGACAAACTGTCATGACAACTTTATTATTCTTGCCTGCCTCCAAAAAAATCCACCACAATGTGCTTTGAAAAGCATAGTAACAACTTCTGTCCCAAAAGAAGATTTGGAAGATCCCCCAGCCAGTTCTGTAATTGGAACCAGAAACCCATGATACTCTCTTGATTTCTTCAAAAATGCAGCACCCTTCTGCCTCAAAGATGTATTTATTTACTGCTTCTCATTTCCAGTAGTCTAAGTTGGATCAGGCAGCTTTGTGGAATTGAGTTCATTATTATTCGGTGAGAACAATTCCTAATTGCTTCTCTTCAAAAACAGTCATACTGCTGTCAGTTCTCCTCGTCATGAAGAAGAGCAATGCATATGAATGAACAGCTACTTTTCCTAGGATGTTACTGTATCCTGGAAGTTTCCAGTTGCCTGTGATTAACGTGTTATGAGCTTAGAATGCTTATTGCTATTCCTTACTGTCATTTTCTAATTGGTCACGTATGTGGTGCCAGTTCATGAATATTTAGAGGAATGCTATTATAAACTCGATAGGACTATAAGGGATGGAGGACCCAGATAGAACTTATTGTAAAGAAAAGAATGCATTCCATTTCAGATGGAAATCTGAAACACGATCTTAAATCTTGAGAAAAATGAAACAGCAGCATATCTTTCCAGCTTTAAATGATTCATCAGTTTCAAGAGGAGTGAGGATTTTAACAGAGTCTCAAAGTAATAAGGGGCAAAAAGTCCTATTCAGGTCCTAAATACTAAAAATATTAGAACTATTGTCTTCCTCAAAACCTGCTCTGATCTAGTGCACCTTAGTCAACTCCCAATATTATTCCCCTTTAAATAATTGATAATCTTACTCAATGGTCATTGGCTCTTTGAATAAACCACAGCCTTCTAATGTCATTACGCAGTTCTTCATATCTTCCTGGAGAGGATTGCAGAAGGAGATCTCTGCAGTACATGGTACTTTCAGCCGGGGCTGGCTCAGTAGCTAGTCAGAAAATAAATAAACACATTCTGTGTTTTGCAGCCCTTACAAAATTAACAATGAAGCATATAAATGTAAGGGAAACAAAAAAAACCATGATTATTCATAGACATGCTTCTTTCTAATTTATTTCTATGATCTCTGGATATCCCTCTAAGTCAACTGTTACTCATTTAAAATCATGCTAGCCTTGCTAAAATAAAAAATACAATAAAAGAAAAGGAAAAAAAGGAAACAATTTCAAGTTTATTTGCATTGTACCTATGAAGTGTCCCATAAGAGTCCCTAAGTTTGTCTCTTAGATCGCAAGTCCCATAACTAAAGTTCTTTACCTTTACAATAACAGGTGGCCTGTTGATCACAATATCCCTGCTCACCATCAGAACTTCTCCACACTCTGGGTCTGAGACAGCAACTACTTTCATAATATTATGATCACAGAGATATGGTCCATATTGACTGTATGATATACACAGTGGAATTTTTTTCACTGTAAAACAGATTTATTTTAATTATTTTTTCTGTTCTTTTTGCCTAATATTTCCTCTTTCCTTCCTCCTAAAGTTTAACTGACACTTACAATGGCTTAATTAAATATTTTGTTATCACAGCATCTTTGAAAACAGACATTTTTCCTGGCTTAGGAAGATGCATAGCTACCTCCAACAACACCTTCACAGTTTTCAGTTAATATAGCTGTATCAATGCATTTACAAGGAGATTGGTTTATTACTACCACTATTACTCAAAATTTGGAAACTTTAATTCCATTGTAATCTTTAAAGCATTAATTCAAATTTAGGCAATTTAAAGCTTGGTAAATCAGAATGTTAATATCAGATATGAAATTTCATCTTATAATGTTTTTTTTAATTAGATCATTTTTCTTCCAGAAAAAAAGATAATTAAAGTGAAAACAAGTGTTTATGTTCTGATACACCTTTGCACTTCCCAGCCTATAGAAATAATTACTTGAGTTCTAAAACAAGTGTTTTTTCTGGCCAAATGGAAAAAAAAAAAAAAAAAGCTTTTTCTGATAGTCAGGTGCAAATTTATGTTTGCATTGAATACAGAATCCAGAATTAACTTTTTAGCAGAATCAAGTTTTTAAATGATCATACTTAGAAACTAAGGAAAGACTATGATTTACCTGCCACTATACACACAGTAGTGACACTACATTGATCACTGTAAAGTGAATAAATCTGTCAATATTTAACATCGTATTCATTTCCCTTCCCACCACTATCAGGAAGTGTCCACTAAAGCTAAAAATCAAACTATCTCCTGGAAAGAACAGAGGACAAAAGGGTATTAGACAAATTGACTGCTTACCCTCCCTTGGACCCAACGTGACATTCACACTGTCTTTCCAAAATTGATCCATTGGGCAGCCACTGTAGGTTATTATTTGTGCGCACAAATTAAACTTCAGGTTTTTATTTTCATTACGCAAATTTTCAAGCAGCCAGTGCAATTGGACGTCTTCACCATACATTGGGCAGTTAGCCATCTTTAATCTCATGTTAATACCAGAGTCACTCAAAAATGGGTTTTTCAGAGATGATAACTCTCTCTCAATATGACAGTTGGAAGCATTGCAGTACCCTGGGTGAATTCTTCTGTAGGCCCGGTAACAGGCTTCTTTGTTTTTTACAGAACCTGTTGAAAAAGATACGTGATAATGAGTCTGGAAAGCACAAGAAGTCATATCTACCCAAATAAAAAAGATAATTAAATTTCCTCCTCCTCCTTCCTAAAACCCAGCATAGTGGCTTAGTGTAAAATGAATCCACCAGATAACAAAACAGGAGATATGGTAGTCTAACAAAATATTTTATTTTCTAGAGAAATGAGAAATATTTATTTTCTTTAATATTTTAAGAAATATTTATTTTCTAAATAAAATAAATATCTCAGAAGAACATTAAAAAATTTAGTTTTATTAGTTAAATTTAAAATAGTCATGTAAGTCTCTAAATGTACAGTTATTGTAGAAATCAAAATAGAACTCTTTATAGGGGTGAGGTTGAATACGAAATACTACCTGGTCTCTCAAAAGGCAAAATACACCATTCAAAGAAAAAACTATCAATTGCTTTCTTTTACGTTTCTGTTAAAAAAAACCCAAACACAAAAACAAAAAACCCACCAAAAAAACCCAAAGCAAACAAACACAAACAAACAGAGCTTGCAATTTTACAGTCAGCTCTTCAGTCCTTTAGACAATTTTGCTAGCTGAACTCCTGCCTACTACTGGAAGATGAAAATCAGTAATCAGTAGCCCAAAGTAAGAACAGCAGAATATCACACTAAAAGGGCTGGCAGGCATCTCCTGTGAGGAGTGGCTGAAGACTCTGGCTTTTTCTGGTTTGGAGAACAGGAAGCTGAGGGGCAACCTCATGGCTCTCTACAGCCTCTGGAGCGGTGGATGTGCAGAGGGAGGTTTTGAGCTCTTCTCCCTGGGATCCACTGATAGGACACGTGGGAATGGAGCAAAGCTGCATCAGGGGAGGTTTAGGCTAGACATTAGGAAACATTTCTTTATCAAGAGGGTCGTGAAACACTGGAATGGGTTCCTAGAAAGGTGGTCAATGCCCCAAGCCTGTCAGCGTCTTATAAAGAGGCATTTGGACAATGTCCTTAATAATATGCTCGAACTTCTAGTCAGCTCTGAAACAGTCAGACAGTAGGACTAGATGATAATTGCCATAGGTCCTTTCCAACTGAAATGTCCTATTGTGTCTTATCCTGTCCTAAATGGGTGGAATAACTGTGTGTTTTGTTTCAATAATCTAAATATGTTTACAGGTTTAAGAATCGAGATCTTTGAACAGAAAGGCATCTTCCTCTTTCTCAAAAATGCAAATTTATATTATTCTACTCATTTTAACACAGGACAGAATACATTTGTAATTTTATATTGATATCCTTTAAAATTTCCTCTAACACATTTAATGATTTTTTATCATACCTATTTCATACTTGTAAGCCCCAGTGATATCTTCAAATTGCTCACTGCCAACACTCTTGGTGATTAGACGTTGTCCACATGGCCAGGCATCACAGAAAAATTTTGTTCTTTTGGCATTGTTTTGAGAAAGCCAGCCGACATAGTTTGAATTTACTCGAGAAAACATATGATGGCCATCATAGTCCATGTCCAGTTCCCCTTCTCTGATGCTTCGAACCCATGTAGGACCACTGCAAGCTAAACCTAAGCCAGATAACAAAAATGTTATAATACGTTGTGACCTGAGTAGTAGAGAAACTCAAAAACATAAGCTGAGAAAGAAAACTACAGTTGTAAAGAGTTACCTCTGCCTGTTTCCAAAGGTGTTGGATCCAGACACTGCCAATCACCACAGCATTGATTTAGGTCTCTGCGAGCCATCCAGGATTCATTCCAGCAGTGATATCTCCTGTAGGATGCAGGTATATGGCAAATTATTTGGGAAAGAATAAACGCTTAAGTCTATTGTATCAAAGTAAGATCCTCATTCCCTTAGTATTTCAGTTTGACCTCATCATTTTTGACACATGAAAAGTCAGAAAATTCATTAAAAGTACTCACAGATGAGACCTGGATAAAAACAAATTTCTGATGCAGTGAAACTATAAACATACAGGCAAAGGGTGAAAACCTGAAATTCTGCTATGATGAGTGATAATATCATAGTTATATGAACATGAATTCCAAGGTTTACAAGAATGAAGAAATGCATGATAAGGAACCTCAGGAAGACAACGTAATTATCAGTGAAGTGATTATGACCGATGATAATAGTCCTAATTTGTGATAATTTTTCTCTTGTATTTTGTGATCTACTTAATATTTTTACAGCTACTAACATTAATGGCCTTATTCTCACAAGTGGGGTTTGGTTGTTTTTTTGGAAAGGTAGATTGAGAAGGCTGCTTCTTCAGTAATTTCATGGTTTTGAAATTCATTATTACAAAACTGACAGCCTTGCCACACCAAAGAAAGCGACACATTGATCTACTAGATTTATACTAGTCGTTCTATCATTATTTTTGACAAAAATATGAGGATTTTTTTTATTTTGTATTTACCATAGCTTGTCTTTACCACACAGGTTTTTTCCAGTACAGTCAAAAATCTCATTGATACCAAGGGGATTCTCAATTGAGCATGGAAAACAGAAGTTTGTGACAACACGGCTTGGAATTCCCAAACATCTCATCACTGTAAGGAAAAAAATACTAATGAGTCATTACAAATGAATCAAGCAATCATTACAAATTATCAAGGAACTACCTCATTTTATAAATAACCATTCTACATTCTACTTTTCAACTATATAAACACAAATGGGTAGAAGACAATACTTGGAATGCAGTGATTCTGTCTTCAAGCTTTTTTTTTGGTGGTTGAAAAGTAGTCTGAAAAGAGCTTATCAAAAAGGAATGTCTTGTTACAATTCCAGCTTTTAAGAAAAACCTAAAAAATAACAAAACCAGATCTGGTGCAAGTTCAGAAGTAACAAACCTGATCCAGCACTAATAAAACATCATAATTATTTTTTTTTTTGTAAACAGAGTTTAGTACATATAGACTCATCTACGGAATATCAGTTCAATCTTCTTCAATGCAGAAGCAGATTCAGTACATAAATGGTATAGTGTAGGAACTCAGATTTTGTGTCTGTAGAGTTTAGTTCATTATTATCTCATCTTTTACAGTAAAAGAAGATAGTAGCCTGCTACTTTTATATTTTGGAGGAGTCGTTGCTAGGTCCTCTAGCATATCTTAGTGTTTTTTCTAGTCCTTCAAATCTCACCCAAAGGATAAGTTTTGGTTCCATGTTGCTGCACTTGCTCTGTGTCTTAAAAAAGCTGAAGTATTAATAGTTGCATGGTATAACTGTCACAGAAAAGCCAATACTGCTTTTCTACTTGCTCTTGACACTGTGTGGGAAAGCAAGAGGTTGATAACAAACATTATGCTAGGAGCCATGTCATAAAAAGAAAAAATATTCCCTTTCTTTTCTAGTAAAATGCTTATAAGTAATATTCTCCCAGCAGCTTTTAGGCTCAGAGGTTTTTGATCCTGATTTTCTTTCTTCCTCTTTGGATAACGAGGTAAGGACAGACTGAAATATCATACCTGTGCACATTACTGAAGCAAGAGACCCACAGTACCCATATCTGACCGGCCTGCATCTGCCATTGTACCACTGCTGAAGAATAGGGACACTCCCATTCCAGGAAAACGGCTTTGTTCCTTTCAGGTAATCATTGTTTTCTGGAATCTTTATGATACTGTTAGTGGTATGGCTGCTTATCTAGAAAGAGAAAAAACAACTTTTTCAAATAGCTGACCATGCCTTCACTTCCTAAGCATATCATAAAATCCTCAGATTAGTGTTACAAGTTATTTTTTCCTGTGAATCTGAGCACAGGAAGGATTTTCCCTGCTATTCATGCTGTGTTTGATTACAGTGCAGTTTGCCCTTTTATCTTTTGTAATATATTGAGGTTTGACCCAATCTATTCAGAGGTCACACACCACTAGATGTCTTACCATGTGATTTACCACCATGCTGACATGCACAGGATCATTGCGCCAGCAATGGTCACGATCAGAGCCATGATGGTAACTTGCACCCATGTCTAGGATCTTCAAGCAGATATCCAGAATTCCTTCTTCAAACTGAGGAAAGAGAAGTTAACACAAGCATCATGGTAGGCTGACATTGATAAACTTCCTTACTTTCCAGTAATCCAAGTCTTTTTGTGTATATGAGCTGCCCTCTCTCCTCCCTTGCATTTAAAAAAATATAAAATAAAAAAAAAAAAAAATCAATAACAGCTCCTAGTGGTCTGCATGGTTTTGTCTATCTGCCTGAAAGAAAACCAAAGGGAAAAACATATCATTTTTGCTTATGTTTTACCAATAGAATAATTTTCCTCCAGAAGCACAATATTATGGTTTTATATTTTCCAAGAACATTCTGCAGGTTCCTTAATTTTACTACAGAAAACTTCCTTCCAGTTGTTTGGGCTACAGTGGAATTCCCAAACATTTTGTTTTGTGCTTTCATAGTCTGGACTAGTCCTAAAAACATTTTGCACTTGAATAGCATAGCATGTATTTTTGAAAAAAAAAAAGGATAACACTTCATTTATCCATATGGATGACATCTACTTATGAACAAGTCTTCAAAAGTACCTGGCCAAAGTGCCACGGTCGGGAGGTAATATGTTTGTGAACTCCTTCATACAGAATCCCATGTTCATTCAGAACATATTCTTCTCTATGAGCTTGGTTGTCCATATATACAGGGTCATCTGAAAAAGATACAGAGCTATCAGTCAGACAGTATCTACTTTTCTAGCACTTCTATGCCTTTTGCTTCACTGGATCTCCCTTTATTTTCCTACCCATGTTTGATATGTTCTTTTAAACTTGTTCAAGGGTGTGGACTCCTTAAACATTCACAGACAACTCTCCTACTTGCAGCTAGATATTATCTTTGATTAAGTCTCTCCCTGCTGTAGTAAACCTGAATTACAGAGCTTGCAATTTATCTTCTCACTAAGCTGCTCTAGGTGTCAAACACTGCATTTAGAGTCAGTTTCGATCAAATGAAAAGCACAGACCATGTGAATATTCACCATGTAATTACTTTTTGCAAGGTCTTGCCGACTCCAGAATTTCTAGTTACCAGAACCAGATCTACAGAATTTCATTTATATTTACACTATATTATTTCATGGTCATATCATAGAATTCACACAATCAGAATGGTTGAGGTTAGAAGGGTCTTCTGAAGGTCATTTAGTCCAAATACACCTGCTCGGGCAAGGACATATGTAGCTGATTGCCCAAGATCACCTCCAGGGATGGAGATTCCACAACCTCTTTGGGCCACCTGCGCCAGTACTCAATCACCCTCAAAGCAAAAGTGTTTCCTGATGTTCAGAGCAATCCTGTGAAGTTTATGCCCACTGCTTCTTGTGTCAATCCACTGTAAAACTGGGAGAAAAATGTTGCACTACACCCCTACTACCATTAAGAAACCAGATCAAAACACTGTCTTAAGACAGCTTTGAACTTGAAGAAAATAATAACAAATAACAACACAAAATTCCTCCCTGTTTCTCATTATTTTTGTGAGTCTATTCTTTAGCTACCAGCTAAGTAATAAATATGTTCAGTAGTTTTTACGCATCACTAGCATTTTTCTTAAAACTACCTGACTAGAGCTCTTACCTGCACACCAAGGGTTAAAAAGGACATAAAAATCTCCAAGACATCGCTGATATGTGTGACCACAAGATGTGATTTGCATATTGAGAATGTAACGGCCAATGCAGGAGTTGGAAGGAGGAAACACGCTGATATTGATGCATTTTGGCTGATGAATTTTGTGGGAAGCACTCCAGCAAGTTTGATCTAGACATTTGCCCATTGGGAAGGTACATTTCGTCTCATTTGATTCACAGGGTCTGAGGCCTTTTCAGGAAAAGAAATACAACTTGCATCAGACTAAACAAAGCACATGTAAAAAGCAAGTAATTTGCTTAGCCAGCATTTGCAATGCAAAGCTCCCAAGGGTGGATTTCTTTTTCACTTGTCACTTCTGTAGCAGAGTGAGAAAACTTTACATGCTAGCACAACCACCCGGGTTAGGGGTAGGTAGTCTCAGAAGATGAATGAGTAGAAACCATTTTGTCACTGAAGACTATGGGAAATACTCCTTATCAGCAAAGGGCTGGGAAAGACTATGCAGAGTTTTGGAATTACGACCTGTCTCCACAGTGAAAACAGCCTGGTCCACGGAGTCATCCCATTCCCGATTTTGGAAGCGAGCATAAAAGTTGAAGGCTTGCCCTCTCCTTATTATCTGTCTGTCGGTTCCGAAGAAATGGGTATTATGAATTTGGCAGTTGGAAGGACAGTTCAGGTCGACTTCTCCCAGCTCAATGACTGCAAGATGGAGAAAGGAACACAAAGAAAAAAAAAAAAGATAATCGAGTTCCCATCATTGACTGAGGTCAATATCACATGAAAGAGGAGATAATGATGAAAGACAGAGAAAAAATTCAGCAACAAAATTCAAACCTCAAACACTGAGATTGAGACATACATCCATAAAAGCATCCCTACAAGTTCACCAATTCTCTAGACTGCAGGTGGAAGCTTTGATTTTTAAGGCTGTGCTACAAGTTTCACATCTTTTATGTAGTGCCTTCTTGGTCTATAAATACTTGATGTTGATGAGCAATATTAGCATCTCTACTTGAAAAACTGATTTTGCATTGTAATATTCTCTCTACATTACAACAGTGTGTCTACAGACAGCTACTTTTCAACCACAGCAAGACAGCAAATGTTTTGTACATGCTATCTGTTGAGAGGTTTTTTATATAAGTAATAAAATAATAAAGTTGAGTAAATAAAAGATTTGATAACAAATGTAGGTGTTTGGAAGCTTAAGTGGGCACATCAAATGAGTTATGAAAAAAATAGATACGCATAAAAATCTCCCGAAAATTATAACTACTGTTAAACGTGTATGCAAACATCTCAATCTGCATTTCCCAAAGTCCTAAAAGGTTTGTAGATATTTTTGAGGAAATTAATGGGGAAGGAAATATTCACAAATAGTGACATTTAAAAAAATTCTGAAAATCTGTGAAAGGTGCTATGATTATCTTGACAAAAATCTTAGCCGATGCCCCCTTAGGCATCCTGCCTAGGTATCAGTCATTTCATAAGGGTAATTACTGGTGCCAGGATGGGTGCCACACTCCTTTTTTTTTTATGTATTTGCATACAACTTTTTCTTTTCAAAAGTGCTCTAATTGAAGACAAGGAGCGCCACAGATTCTTAGTAGTTTTGGAAACTGGGCTTACTAAACTACAAAGTCTTGTATATTATTTAAATTCTAAAGGGTTAAGTTTGGTCCTGCTAAGCTTACAGAACAACTAAACAATGCAACTTCTCTAACTATGTTGGCACTGAGTTGAATACAGAGTTAGTATTTAGGGGAAATTAATTTTTTCCATCCAAAAAAAAAATCCAGGGTTTACCCACATAAAAGGAGATTCACAGCTAAGCCCATGGGACTGGGACACTTTTAGTACAAACCAGTGGAGTTTCCCAGGATCACATCCTCAAGCAAATCATAATTGAAATAACTAGGGGAGGCAGGGTAGGAAGAAAACAAAATAAAAAAAAACCCAAGCAGCATTTTCTTATTTGTTTCCTTAAACCATCTCAGTTTTCAGCTAACCATTTAAATTTGGTAATGAATTCTTCATTCAGCTCTTCAGCAAAGATCAGCAGATAAATGCATGGGCGTTACCCATGTCAAAAACATCTACACTATCAACAACAATCACCAAAAAATATGGCAATGTATTACATCATTATTGCTCAAGAATGCGTCAGACCTGCTGACAAGAAAGAATAACAGAATTGAACTGAAAATCTTGTATCTTAAAGAGAGTTGCCAACCTCAATGCAAAGTGTTCTGGTTAAATAAAAAGGATTAGAAGTGCTTATAGCACACATGACGAATTCCTGTGGTCACGAACACTGAAAGAACCTGATAGATCCTCGCCCGTCCTCTGGAGGCATTTATAAACCAAGACAACTACGCTTCATCCACTTATTAATCCAGCTGAACCAGAACATCGAGGAGCTGGGATATTACATGTTTCCCAGGGAAGTTCTCCAAAGTCAGCCCACATTTTACTTATCAGAGTTACTTATCACAACTAGATCACAAGGAGCTAACAATTGCCTTCTTAAGCAAAGGCAGCTCAGAGAAACTACTGAAAGCTAAACAGTTTCACATCTCTTATTCATTTTCTTGTGTCTGGTAGAAACCCGACTCTCAATACCAATCACTGGGTTTTCTCTGTCAATTCACATTTCGTGTTCGTTCCAGAGAGAACACTTGAGGTATTCATTGTCAAATAATTGGTTCTGGCAGTACTTTGTAGTTTATGCCAGAAATAAAATGCATTCTTTTCCATGCTCTTTCTTATTCTCTGAATTGACTGTTTCACCAGTTCTCCATAGCTCTCATTTTCCTTATAAAATAAAAAGGTTTTTTCACAAGTTGTTTCTTTCTTTCTAAGTTCACAATAAAAGCTAAACCACAGAAGTAATCCCTCGACTTGATTCCACACAGCAATATGTGCAATTCTTTTTTTTTGTCATTACACCTGTCCATTTAATTATATCTGCTTTTGGTACCAAGTAAAGTTTCAAGATAGTAAAGTTTCAAGAAACTCACCTTCCATTTTTCTTCTACATGTACTAGTAGTATCTGAAGAACAGTACTGGCGGAGATACCTGCTCCTCAGCAAGACGCACAGCAAGGTCTGGCTGATCTTCTCTGCGAACCAACCTAATTTCCTCTCAGTAACCTTTATATTCAGAACTAAAAGGCTGTCACACATATTGCATCAACAAAATACCAGTTTACAAAGAGGCCCCACCCATGTGTCTACTGATGCTCATAAATGATTCATTTTAACTTCCAGCATTATTAGGGAGAGTCCTGTGGCTGAAGGGAGAGAGAGATCTTGGTACCTCACCTATAGCATAGTACTCTCAAGGTCCCAACTTGCTATGTCTCAAAAATATTTTAAGGCTGCAATGAATCTAAACATGTTTCAGCATAAGCCCATAGTTTTAGCCATTTAAAGTTCCCATAAATCACAGCACGTACTGTTCCCTCCTGGCTAGACATCTTCAGTCACCTGTAAGAAAACAATAAAGAACACTAGACTTAGGCTGAATTTAGACTCTCTGAATATGATGACCAGTGGACATTGTTATTATAATATAAGCCAAAATCTCAGCTTTCAGGAAGTCTGCAAAGCACTCCTTCCAAGTGGAGATCAGAATAAAACGAACAGTTATGAACTTCCCAGTAGAATTGTAAAATAAACAGAGAATGTGAAATAAATGTTTTTTAACTTGACATTAAAATTTAATCTAAAAATTACAGAATTTATTTATACATTGTGTGTATTTATGTTCTAGTACACAGTTTTGCAGCTTCTTAGCTTAGTTCACCTCCTTTTCCCAAAGTTATGAAGATCATTTGAGACTTTTCCATTAATTTCTGAGAACAAAAAACATTTAAATATTTAGACACAACAATGCATTATTTTATTTAGGTTCCAGACCTATTTAATAAAATAAAACAAAATAACTGCAACACTGTTCTCTCCACACACTCAGTGAAGAGGATATTGGCCTGCAAATAGGAAAGATGGTTCAAAATTTCCTCTGCCAAAACCAGAATGAACATTTGCTACAGTTGACTCCTATCCTTCTTATGCATTCTATGCCAAGACTTACTCCATAATATATCCTTTGAATCCCTCCAAGTTACTTTATTTTGGATTATAAAAAACCAAAAGACACAAAAAACCCCCCCAAAAAACCCCAAACCAAAAAATCATTCACTGATTCAGAAAGAACACAATGACTGAAGTTCAGTGATCTTCCTAACTGTCTGGATTCTAGACAGTACTTTAAGAAATCATAAAATGAAACAGCTTAAGTAATAGTGAAATAACTTAGTAAGCACAGCTTAACAGCTCAGGTATTATGAAATAATGTCACAGAAATTAAAGCAAAGCAAAAAAAAAGCACATCAACATTGGGTTTGCAGCAGTGATTAAAATAGTTGTATGACCGATGCATATGGAAGTGAACATAATATTAAATGTGTTTGTATTTGAAATTTGTAAATATTTGGCTAGTCAGTAGGCAGGCATGAAAAAATATGTGAATCCTAATTTTTTCATTTATTTCTCATTTATATGAAAACTTTATTTTTCTTAATATTTGCCATCTATTAAACTTCAGCTCATTAAAAGATTAGAAATAAAACCAATACTATTTATTCCATAAAAAAATAATTTAACAGTCATAAACACATAATCAACTTTAAACCAACCTGTAAAATGGGAAGGGTAGCAGTCAAGTCACCTATCAGAGACCTGCCTACAAATGTATGCCTGTACTAGCGTCCAGGGAACAGAACAGAAAAGCATCTAAGTTGGTCACAGTTTCCAAGTACAGACTAAAATCCTCTCAAATACCTCTAGTTCAATCATCCACCTAAAATATTTTGGTAAATGAAAGCCTGTGACAAATAAAAGAAAACAAATAAGCATCAGTAAGTGGCTGCACCTGTGGGTTCAAAGAGACTTAATTAAGAGTTTAAAATAATAAAGGCCTGAATCAGGAGCGGAACACTTTCTGCATGGACATGAGTCACTGACTTTAGTAAGTGTGCTTACTTAGATCCTTGAAGCTGCCTTGGTGCCTATCTGTCTCTGCAGGATCACTATATAGATACCCAGTCCCAAAGGAAAGCCTCCCAGATACCCAAGTCCCTGCCTATCAGTGCTTGCAAAGCCACCCAGTTGCTGTTGCCAGCTCACAGCAATCAGACTGGTTGGTCCTCTCACTTAAGCCCAAGTCCCAAGTGCCTAAAGTAAGAATGTTTAACGAGGTAGAAAATCACAGCATACTAGCTCTCTAGGCGCACTCAGTCTATTCTTACCGCTTCTGCCTTCCAAGCCCTGCATCATGAGAGTTGGACTCGAAAGTGGCACGGGAGACTGAGCACAAACGGGAAACAGAGAAATGGCTCAAAGAAAGGGTTTGCGACTCAGCTCATGGCCTGTTTAAACAACTCATGTGTCCTGATTGTTGACCTCCAAGGCAGGTTGTTGCCTTCTACCCAAGGAGTCTCCTCCTGGATAGAAACAATTCCCCTCCCTGCCTAGCAGTAGGCTACAACAAGCTAGGGTTGATAATGTTTGGGTCCCAGCTGGGGATGATTTTCCCCTCTGCCTCCATCTACTTCTCTAATGCTTCACTCATCATTCACTCAAGCTGTCCTCTCTACATTACTACAGTATCTTACTTAAACATTCAACATTCCCTGAAATGTGCAAAGGAGCTGATATGCCTGATGCAGGCCTGAAAATTCTGCAGAACAGTATATTTATGAAGATTCAGGCACATCCAGAATTTAAGCCATTTAGGTTTTTAGGTTTCTTTAAAGACCTTGACTTCGGCCCTTACTGCACAAGCATCTATGCAATAATAAAGAGATTTTTAATTTCTGGAGTAATTGGTACTTGCACAATGGTACAGACTACATTTACCTTTTACAACATTTTTTTTTTATTACTTTCATTACAATAGACTGACACATGATGAACATGGACAAAGTCAAGCAGAGTGCCTGCTAAGGCTCTGAAATCTTCATAGCTCTCAGTTGCTCATTATGCCTCCAGGAAAGGGCAAGGATTGAAGATCAGGGCATCGCAATCACAGGAAGAACACCTGTGAACAGCACTGGTACAGTTCCACAGCAATCACTAATATATTCGGAACAATAGAGAAGTCACAGTAATCAAGCATCCACGGAATCTTTTCAAGAAAAAGGAACATAAAATGACAGCTCAACAGGGGATAAAGGAGAGAATCAGAAAATATGTGAATTGAGCTTAAAGTGTCTTGGTGAAAGTGGCATCTAGCGGAGAGCTGGGGTAACTACAGTGCTTTAAAATGTAGCTACTCGACAATAGCACGTGTCAATGGGCAGCCCTAAAATTCTCTTTTTTTGCACTTGGCCGTATAATTGTATTCTTTTGATCACTGGACTTGGAGTTCACCTTATTAACGAACTTCCAATTTTGTAAAATAGCATTGAATGATAGACTAAAAAGTGACCTGTCAAGCCAGGATATTTGAAGTCCCTAACTCACCTCATTTTCTGCTACTAAAATCCAGGAACGTTTTTGTGTAACAAGGAAAAAGGATAGAGAACAACAACTTGGTTGCCATAGGTTAGCTCTAAAATAAGAACATGTTTGTTAGGAGTCTACATCCAACACTTAGAAGCCTTGTACTACAACGACAATAGGCTGACGAGCTAATTTGAACCCTGTCACAGAACACACCCAAAAGTTTCTTAAAATTCATAAATGAGTTTGCAATGAGAGTGCCTTTCATTAAAAACCTGAAAGCACCGGCATCTGCTCTGTTGAGTGTAAGCAAGTATTACAACACCCTATTTACAGGTGAATTAGGATAAATAAATGTTTCAAATGAAATCTTAAACAAGAAGTCTGTGTTTTAAGAAGTACATGGCAGCTTTGTCCTTCTAGAAGCTGGAGGAAATTAGTAACATAAAATAATTATAGGTGGTTTCTGGGACAACAAAACCACCAGTCTTCATACAAAGAAACCAAAAACTCCTTCAATGCAGCTCCCCATCCAAGCTGGTCCACAGGACTCGCTTTGTGTTCTGATGGAGTTACTTGCTCTCTTGTCTCTTAGCCGTTTACTGGGTTTCCATGAACTGTGTAAGCCACTTTTTTTGCTCCATTTAATAGGATGCATTTTACCAATACCCACCAGGCAGAGGAGAAAGACACACATCTACACTGTTGCAGTATATGCAGAATGCAGAAAGGTAAAACAACTGCAGGACGTGCACCTCATACGAACAAGCAGCAACATCATTTGTGCTTAAGGCATACTGCCCTCATATTTAGAAAAGAACCTAGGTAAAACGCCAGCCTGAGTCATATTGAAGGCTGCATTTCTTCATCTTTGCTCTGAAGGACTTCCATAATAATATTTTTTTTTAATTGGCTCTTTTTATATGTACCTTAATAACAGTAGCAAGGATGACCAGGTCACCTCAATAGAATAAAACCATAAACATTGCATAAATTGCAACTAATAAGTTTCAATAAAGAGAAATATTTGATTTGTCTGCCAGAAAAAAGCCCCAAACCAGCTCCTTTTCACAAACTGAAGCTAGAATTTACAGCTGAGTAATTTGCCAGGTAAACTACTCCGAGTAATGTAAGTTCACTTTTAAATAAGTTTATTCACAACTATATTTAAAACGGAAGCAGAATAAGCTGGCAGTACTGTAAATTCAAACCTCAGTTCACTCAGCAGTAACTTTCCCACACAGAGACCTATAAATCACCAGGCCTGTGGTTATAACCCACCAGTCTAATTGCCCAAGCGAGGGAGCAGATACCACAGATCTTTTACTTGGACAGGCAATGCTAATTGAAAAGATTCAGTCTGCACAGTCTAAGTTGAAAGAGTAAAACAAGGAGGGACATTTACTGGGATGGATCACAGGAGGTTTGAGGCTCTCTGGAAGAATGCAAGTTGGCTCCCACTCTATTCCATAATTTAAAGCTTCAACTTTTAATGAAGCCTGCTTGTTGTTTAAAAAAAATTCAATTTTCTCCTCTAATGCTTTTTTGTAGACATTCATTTAAATTTTCTTTATGCAAGAGTAGAGCTCAATATCTTGAGGCACAGGTCTAAAATATAGATCTCCATACCAGCAAAAAAGCAAGAGTCTTGAGTACTGATATTTACATTATAAAGAGCT